GTGTTCAGGTGGACTCAAAGGAGCTGTCTGGCTGGACTCTTCTGTCTGTTCCCGGTTATCAGCACAAAGTGGAGTTCGGGATCTTGCTTACATTTGCTTATCCACTGGAGGGACAGGGTGAGGGGACTTTTCAGTTTGCTCTGTCTCTCGAGATGTTATTTTACCCGTTTTGTAATAAGGTGTGATTTGTTTTTTAGAAGGAGAGGTTGCAGTATCAACCACGCGTCCAGAGACGATGCTGGGAGACGTGGCCATTGCTGTTCATCCTGATGACCCTCGATATAAAGTAACGCTACATGGATTGTTTGTAGTCTGCTCTGTGCTTACGATATGACTTGACATGACGAATGGTCGAATGGGATATTACTGTACTACTCATCTACATTTGATAAATCTAGTATGCAGTTGGCAGTATGTCTACTATGCTAAAGTTACAAGCAGAGCTGTAGTTCTAGCACTTTTCTCCACCATGTTAATCTCAGGATCTTCACGGCAAACACTGCAGGCATCCATTCACTGAGCGCTTATTACCCATCGTCACTGACATTATGGTTGTTAGCACATTTGGCACAGGTATGTCATTTATTTGTGCATGATGAATTTTATCTGTTGGAAATAACTATCTTTTATTGTAAAAATGTTAAATTACAATTAGTGTACTTTTACACTGCAAGCCAGTGTTCCATTATTTTTCTTTTTGTGAGGCTGTTCATTTGAACTTGTGACACTGGTCTAAATTTGTGATTCTATATTTGTACTTTATTAATAAATAAATGTATTATGTATATTAAATATAAAATAAGTTTAATGAACACTGAGTTAATATATTATTGATGTACAAATTGGACAAAGTTTGACCTGACTGGTCAAAAATCAGTTAAGAATGCAGCCTCACCTTTATTAATGTTCAGCGGCGAAATCCAGTCATTGCAGTTGGAATTCATGATCAGGAATTTTGTGTGAGGACAAAATAGGTTTCAGGAGATTTGGCACTGATTTAAAGTTGGTCATGCAGATTTGCTAGTTTAAAGTGATTTCTGTGTGAGCTGTGCTTCATACATCACTGCACTATTGACAATAGGCAGTGAATATTTTTTTGCTTGTGAAATTTGTGACTGCACCTTTAAGTCTCAGCTCCTGACTTTCAGCTTTGCCTTCATAGGTGCTGTTAAAGTGACACCAGCTCATGACCACACTGACTTCCTGCTCTCTCAGAGACATTCACTCCCAAGCCTCACTGTGATTGGAGGAGATGGGACCATGACCTCAGACTGCGGCCAATGGCTAGAGGTACAGAGATTCTTTACAATTGACCCTTTTAAAGGTGTGACCTCAGTGGGATTATTACAATTATTGCATAACCATTATTACATTATTGATCATTTGGGATGGCAGCAATTATTGTGCACTTGAGGATTTAGATTCATTTTATTATCACTTC